CGACAAAACTCCGCGCGGAGATATGACGTTCCAAAACGACATAACTCCGCGCGGTATGATGGGTAATAGCTCCGCGGGGAGATATGACGTTCCAAAACGACATAACTCCGCGCGGAGATATGACGTTCCAAAACGACATAACTCCGCGCGGAGATATGACGTTTCAAAACGACATAACTCCGCGCGGAGATATGACGTTCCAAAACGACATAACTACGCGCGGAGATATGACGTTCCAAAACGACATAACTCCGCGCGGAGATATGACGTTCCAAAACGACATAACTCCGCGGGGAGATATGACGTTCCAAAACGACATAACTCCGCGCGGTTTGATGGATAATAGCTCCGCGGGGAGATATGACGTTCCAAAACGACATAGCTCCGCGCGGTATGATGGATAATAGCTCCGCGGGGAGATATGACGTTCCAAAACGACATAGCTCCGCGCGGTATGATGGATAATAGCTCCGCGGGGACATATGACATTCCAAAACGACATAACTCCCTCCGTTTGGATGGAAATAGCTCCGTGAGGAGATATGACGTTCCAAAACGACATAACTCCGCGCGGTATGATGGGTAATAGCTCCGCGGGGAGATATAACGTTCCAAAACGACATAACTCCGCGCGGTATGATGGATAATAGCTCCGCGGGGAGATATGACATTCCAAATCGACATAACTCCCTCCGCTCAGATGAATATAACTCCGCGGGGAGATATGACGTTCCAAATCGACATAACTCCCTCCGCTCAGATGGAAATAGCTCCGCGGGGAGATATGACGTTCCAAAACGACACAACTCCCTCCGCTCGGATGGAAATAGCTCCGCGGGGAGATATGACGTTCCAAGACGACATAACTCCCTCCGTTCGGATGGAAATAGCTCCGCGGGGAGATATGACGTTCCAAAACGACATAACTCTGCGCGGTAAGATGGGTAATAGCTCCGCGGGGAGATATGACATTCCAAAACGACATAACTCCCTCCGCTCGGATGGAAATAGCTCCGCGGGGAGATATGACGTTCCAAATCGACATAACTCCCTCCGCTCGGATGGAAATAGCTCCGCGGGGAGATATGACATTCCAAAATGACATAACTCCCTCCGCTCGGATGGAAATAGCTCCGCAGGGAAATATGACGTTCCAAATCGACATAACTCCCTCCGCTCGGATGGAAATAGCTCCGCGGGGAGATATGACGTTCCAAAACGACATAGCTTCGCGCGGTATGATGGATAATAGTTCCGTGGGGAGATATGACGTTCCAAAACGATATAACTCCGCGCGGTATGATGGATAATAGCTCCGCGGGGAGATATGACGTTCCAAAACGACATAACTCCGCGCGGTATGATGGATAATAGCTCCGCGGGGAGATATGACGTTCCAAAACGACATAGCTCCGCGCGATATGATGGATAATAGCTCCGCGGGGAGATATGACATTCCAAAACGACATAACTCCCTCCGCTCAGATGGAAATAGCTCCGCGGGGAGATATGACGTTCCAAAACGACATAACTCCCTCCGTTCGGATGGAAATAGCTCCGCGGGGAGATATGACGTTCCAAAACGACATAACTCCGCGCGGTATGATGGATAATAGTTCCGCGGGGAGACTTGACGTTCCAAAACGACATACCTCCGCGCGGTATGATGGATAATAGCTCCGCGGGGAGATATGACGTTCCAAAACGACATAGCTCCGCGCGGTATGATGGATAATAGCTCCGCGGGGAGATATGACGTTCCAAAACGACATAGCTCCGCGCGGTATGATGGATAATAGGCCCGCGCGGAGCTATGTCGTTTTGGAATGTCATATCTCCCCGCGGAGCTATTATCCATCATACCGCGCGGAGCTATGTCGTTTTGGAACGTCATATCTCCGCGCGGAGTTATGTCGTTTTGGAACGTCATATCTCCCCGCGGAGCTATTTCCATCCGAGCGGAGGGAGTTATGTCGTTTTGGAATGTCATATGTCCCCGCGGAGCTATTATCCATCTTACCGCGCGGAGTTATGTCGCTTTGGAACGTCATATCTCCCCGCGGAGCTATTATCCATCATACCGCGCGGAGTTATGTCGTTTTGGAACGTCATATCTCCCTGCGGAGCTATTATCCATCATACCGCGCGGAGTTATGTCGTTTTGGAACGTCATATCTCCCCGCGGAGCTATTTCCATCCGAGCGGAGGGAGTTTTGTCGTTATGGAACGTTATATCTCCCCGCGGAGCTATTACCGATCATACCGCGCGGAGTTATGTCGTTTTGGAACGTCATATCTCCCCGCAGAGCTATTTCCATCCGAGCGGAGGGAGTTATGTCGTTTTGGAACGTCATATCTCCCCGCGGAGCTATTATCCATCATACCGCGCGGAGTTATGTCGTTTTGGAACGTCATATCTCCCCGCGGAGCTATTTCCATCCGAACGGAGGGAGTTATGTCGTTTTGGAACGTCATATCTCCCCGCGGAGCTATTTCCATCTGAGCGGAGGGAGTTATGTCGTTTTGGAATGTCATATCTCCCCGCGGAGCTATTATCCATCATATCGCGCGGAGCTATGTCGTTTTGGAACGTCATATCTCCCCGCGGAGCTATTATCCATCATACCGCGCGGAGTTATGTCGTTTTGGAACGTCATATCTCCCCGCGGAGCTATTATCCATCATACCGCGCGGAGTTATATCGTTTTGGAACGTCATATCTCGCCACGGAACTATTATCCATCATACCGCGCGAAGCTATGTCGTTTTGGAACGTCATATCTCCCCGCGGAGCTATTTCCATCCGAGCGGAGGGATTTATGTCGATTTGGAACGTCATATTTCCCTGCGGAGCTATTTCCATCCGAGCGGAGGGAGTTATGTCATTTTGGAATGTCATATATCCCCGCGGAGCTATTTCCATCTGAGCGGAGGGAGTTATGTCGATTTGGAACGTCATATCTCCCCGCGGAGCTATTTCCATCCGAGCGGAGGGAGTTATGTCGTTTTGGAATGTCATATCTCCCCGCGGAGCTATTACCCATCTTACCGCGCACAGTTATGTCGTTTTGGAACGTCATATCTCCCCGCGGAGCTATTTCCATCCGAACGGAGGGAGTTATGTCGTCTTGGAACGTCATATCTCCCCGCGGAGCTATTTCCATCCGAGCGGAGGGAGTTATGTCGGTTTGGAACGTCATATCTTTCGAAGTTCGCACCGACCTCGATTTTGAAAAAAAACGTGATGTAACAACCCCTTGCCATTTTGTCGATTTAGGTCAAAATTTTGGATTTCATTTTTTTATCCCAATCGATAGAACTGATCCTTACGAGTCAATAATTGTATTCAATTCCAAAATCGGACATTATTTGACGGAAATATTCCAAAAAATCATCAAAAAGATGGAATTTACGAACAAATGGGTTTTTTGTCAACAACATTTTTCAACCCATCGATGATTCATTTGCTTGAATGCCAATTGATGGTAGGGATCCGAACGCATTCAAAAAGGTATAACATTTTAAAATCAGACATTATTGACCCGAGATATTAAAAAAAAATCATCGAAAAAGTTTCGATGTTCGCACCGACCTCGATCTTGAAAAAAATCGTGATGATTTGGATGGTCTTCGCGCGGAGTTATGTCGTTTTGGAACGTCATAACTTCTTTCGATTTTCGCACCGACCTCGATTTTGAAAAAAAAACGTGATGTAACCCGCGCGGAGTTATGTCGTTGTGGAACGTCAGATCTTCTTTCGATTTTCGCACCGACCTCGATTTTGAAAAAAAAACGTGATGTAACCCCTTGCCATTTTGTCGATTTGGGTCAAAATTTTGAATTAAGCACTGATGATATAAAGAGAAACTCAAATAGCAATCGATAAAAATCGATATCGTTATTCTGTTTTTTGAGAAATTTTGGTACATAATAAGAGCTAGAGTCACCAAACTTGACATATAGCTTCTAAAATAGAATATATATATGCATTTGATGTTGAAAGAAGAGGGTTCAGGGTATCCCCTAGTCGGGAGCTCCCGATGATGAAGGAATAATAAATGAATTAAAGTTATTGCTAATACAATAAAAGGTAAAATAAAGTGAAATGTAAAAAATCGAGTTAAAGTTGCGTTATCAACAGCAAATCCTCCTCAAACTCATTGTACAAGATCAATCCCAAGATAAGGTACTGCTGAACCTCTTACTTGTTATTAATATTTTTTTAAATCACCAAATAAACTTTTTCTCTCTATTCGCTAGACAACATTGAATTGTCAAAATACTTTTGTCCACCTACATTTTTGAAAGATCGATTTTTTTTTATAAGCTGTAATAATACAAATTATTTTTCTTTGCATTTTGGGCAGCGATTTATATTATTATTAAATAGAAAAGTTGTTAAAATGTATTATGTCAATAAATCATTAGATATTGCTAAGGCAATCCTATTTTTCTTATGTCAAAATATTTTTGTCTACCATTGTACATACACATACATTACATACAAAGAAATACATACATATATAATACTTATGTGCGCTCGTAGCAAATACGTCTATTATTATTTACTTTGATCCATATGAGCTCACTATTATAAGATTAGTATAGAATCTATACTTTTTTTATTGCAAGTGCACCTACATGCATACCACACGTGTACGTCTTTTTAATTTTATAGCTATAGCCTGTCTGTATACGTTTGTAGGATTTATAATTTATTATACTTACTATAGTAAAATCAAATAAGCTAAACAAAAACTAAACCATTAATTGTATTTAATCGAGTTTTATTAACTTTATTGCAAATGCATATTTTCCGCTTGTTTAATTTTTACTCAGTTAAACTCGATAAACAACTTCTAAATTGTGTGCGCATGTATTGATATGATTTAAATATATTTTTTAACTAACACAAAACTATTAATTTATATGATTTTAACTGATTTTGTATAACGCTCAAATATGCATAAATCTAATGAAAATGATCGGCTTATTCCCTGCTAATAGCGTAAACCTAGATATTCATAAAGGGGTATTTCCATGACCGATTCGCTTGTGTTCATTTCCTGGAAGTCACCACCTTGGAGTAAATATAGAGGTCGGGCCAATTTTGGATTGTTTAAGTAAAAATCAATAAGCGCTGTAGTGCTACGCAGGTGAGTAATGCCTTTAAATATTTTCTCGCGGGTAAGCAGATCGTTCGGGTAAACTGTTTCGATGACCTTATCACCAGAGCGCTTTATCCAAGGTCGTTCCTTAAGAGGTACAGTTCGACCAAAGGCGCTAAGAAGCGGCTTGTGGGTCACACGCATTGCATGGTCGTTGATGTGTTTTTCATACTTGAGCTCAATTGCCATCTGTTAAATAAATAGGTATACAAGGTGAAGGCATTCCCAATTTCGATTTATCATTACATGGGGTTTATTCCATTTGTCGGCAACTGTTTGCGCTATGGCGTTGACTTCCTTTGGGTCTGTCTTAACTGATGCAAGAAGCGTTCGATCACCTTTGATGGAAAATAAGTTCTTAACCTTCTCTGGTGTCATAGACGTATCCATTGAACCGATAGAATTGAGCCAGTGAATAAAGCGCTCAGCTGACTATAAGTTAAATGTAGGTTAAATTATTGAATTTTGTGAATTTCATGTTACCGCGTCCATGAGATTCTCCGCTTGCTCGTCAAGCGTGTACGCCGAATCACCCGCCTTGGATCGCTCCACTCGCGAGTCCCAGGAAACGCGTTCGTCGCGGGAAGCGCACAGAAACTTCGCATACCAGCTAGTTTTGTCGACACTGCGATGTGTGTGACCAACTGGCTCATCTAACCTAAGATCAAACTTCTCAAATTCATGATCCATGTCATATGTCCCCGCGGAGCTATTATCCATCTTACCGCGCGGAGTTATGTCGCTTTGGAACGTCATATCTCCCCGCGGAGCTATTATCCATCATACCGCGCGGAGTTATGTCGTTTTGGAACGTCATATCTCCCTGCGGAGCTATTATCCATCATACCGCGCGGAGTTATGTCGTTTTGGAACGTCATATCTCCCCGCGGAGCTATTTCCATCCGAGCGGAGGGAGTTTTGTCGTTATGGAACGTTATATCTCCCCGCGGAGCTATTACCGATCATACCGCGCGGAGTTATGTCGTTTTGGAACGTCATATCTCCCCGCAGAGCTATTTCCATCCGAGCGGAGGGAGTTATGTCGTTTTGGAACGTCATATCTCCCCGCGGAGCTATTATCCATCATACCGCGCGGAGTTATGTCGTTTTGGAACGTCATATCTCCCCGCGGAGCTATTTCCATCCGAACGGAGGGAGTTATGTCGTTTTGGAACGTCATATCTCCCCGCGGAGCTATTTCCATCTGAGCGGAGGGAGTTATGTCGTTTTGGAATGTCATATCTCCCCGCGGAGCTATTATCCATCATATCGCGCGGAGCTATGTCGTTTTGGAACGTCATATCTCCCCGCGGAGCTATTATCCATCATACCGCGCGGAGTTATGTCGTTTTGGAACGTCATATCTCCCCGCGGAGCTATTATCCATCATACCGCGCGGAGTTATATCGTTTTGGAACGTCATATCTCGCCACGGAACTATTATCCATCATACCGCGCGAAGCTATGTCGTTTTGGAACGTCATATCTCCCCGCGGAGCTATTTCCATCCGAGCGGAGGGATTTATGTCGATTTGGAACGTCATATTTCCCTGCGGAGCTATTTCCATCCGAGCGGAGGGAGTTATGTCATTTTGGAATGTCATATATCCCCGCGGAGCTATTTCCATCTGAGCGGAGGGAGTTATGTCGATTTGGAACGTCATATCTCCCCGCGGAGCTATTTCCATCCGAGCGGAGGGAGTTATGTCGTTTTGGAATGTCATATCTCCCCGCGGAGCTATTACCCATCTTACCGCGCACAGTTATGTCGTTTTGGAACGTCATATCTCCCCGCGGAGCTATTTCCATCCGAACGGAGGGAGTTATGTCGTCTTGGAACGTCATATCTCCCCGCGGAGCTATTTCCATCCGAGCGGAGGGAGTTATGTCGTTTTGGAACGTCATATCTCCCCGCGGAGCTATTTCCATCCGAACGGAGGGAGTTATGTCGATTTGGAACGTCATATCTCCCCGCGGAGCTATATTCATCTGAGCGGAGGGAGTTATGTCGTTTTGGAACGTCATATCTCCCCGCGGAGCTATTATCCATCATACCGCGCGGAGTTATGTCGTTTTGGAACGTTATATCTCCCCGCGGAGCTATTACCCATCATACCGCGCGGAGTTATGTCGTTTTGGAACGTCATATCTCCTCGCGGAGCTATTTCCATCCAAACGGAGGGAGTTATGTCGTTTTGGAATGTCATATGTCCCCGCGGAGCTATTATCCATCATACCGCGCGGAGCTATGTCGTTTTGGAACGTCATATCTCCCCGCGGAGCTATTATCCATCATACCGCGCGGAGCTATGTCGTTTTGGAACGTCATATCTCCCCGCGGAGCTATTATCCATCAAACCGCGCGGAGTTATGTCGTTTTGGAACGTCATATCTCCCCGCGGAGTTATGTCGTTTTGGAACGTTATATCTCCGCGCGGAGTTATGTCGTTTTGGAACGTCATATCTCCGCGCGGAGTTATGTCGTTTTGGAACGTCATATCTCCGCGCGGAGTTATGTCGTTTTGGAACGTCATATCTCCGCGCGGAGTTATGTCGTTTTGGAACGTCATATCTCCGCGCGGAGTTATGTCGTTTTGGAACGTCATATCTCCGCGCGGAGTTATGTCGTTTTGGAACGTCATATCTCCCCGCGGAGCTATTACCCATCATACCGCGCGGAGTTATGTCGTTTTGGAACGTCATATCTCCCCGCGGAGCTATTATCCATCATACCGCGCGGAGTTATGTCGGTTTGGAACGTCATATCTCCCCGCGGAGCTATTACCCATCATACTGCGCGGAGTTATGTCGCTTTGGAACGTCATATCTCCGCGCGGAGTTATGTCGGGTTGGAACGTCATATCTCCCCGCGGAGCTATTTCCATCCGAGCGGAGGGAGTTATGTCGTTTTGGAACGTCATATCTCCCCGCGGAGCTATTATCCATCATACCGCGCGGAGCTATGTCGTTTTGGAACGTCATATCTCCCCGCGGAGCTATTATCCATCATACCGCGCGGAGTTATGTCGTTTTGGAACGTCATATCTCCCCGCGGAGTTATGTTGTTTTAGAACGTCATAACTCCGCGCGGAGTTATGTCGTTTTGGAACGTCATATCTCCGTGCGGAGTTATGTCGTTTTGGAACGTCATATCTCCCCGCGGAGCTATTACCCATCATACCGCGCGGAGCTATGTCGTTTTGGAACGTCATATCTCCCCGCGGAGCTATTATCCATCATACCACGCGGAGTTATGTCGTTTTGGAACGTCATATCTCCCCACGGAGCTATTATCCATCATACCGCGCGAAGCTATGTCGTTTTGGAACGTCATATCTCCCCGCGGAAATATTATCCATCATACCGCGCGGAGCTATGTCGTTTTGGAACGTCATATCTCCCCGCGGAGCTATTATCCATCATACCGCGCGGAGCTATGTCGTTTTGGAACGTCATATATCCCCGCGGAGCTATTATCTACATACCGTGCGGAGCTATGTCGTTTTGGAACGTCATATCTCCCCGCGGAGCTATTTCCATCCGAGCGGAGGGAGTTATGTCGTTTTGGAATGTCATATGTCCCCGCGGAGATATTATCCATCATACCGCGCGGAGCTATGTCGTTTTGAAACGCCATATCTCCCCGCGGAGCTATTATCCATCATACCGCGCGGAGTTATGTCGTTTTGGAACGTCATATCTCCCCGCGGAGCTATTATCCATCATACCGCGCGGAGTTATGTCGTTTTGGAACGTCATATCTCCGCGCGGAGTTATGTCGTTTTGGAACGTCATATCTCCCCGCGGAGCTATTTCCATCCGAGCGGAGGGAGTTATGTCGTTTTGGAACGTCATATCTCCCCGCGGAGCTATTATCCATCTTACCGCGCGGAGCTATGTCGTTTTGGAACGTCATATCTCCCCGCGGAGCTATCATCCATCATACCGCGCGGAGTTATGTCGTTTTGGAACGTCATATCTCCCCGCGGAGTTACGTCGTTTTGGAACGTTATATCTCCGCGCGGAGTTATGCCGTTTTGGAACGTCATATCTCCGCGCGGAGTTATGTCGGTTTGGAACGTCATATCTTTCGAAGTTCGCACCGACCTCGATTTTGAAAAAAAACGTGATGTAACAACCCCTTGCCATTTTGTCGATTTAGGTCAAAATTTTGGATTTCATTTTTTTATCCCAATCGATAGAACTGATCCTTACGAGTCAATAATTGTATTCAATTCCAAAATCGGACATTATTTGACGGAAATATTCCAAAAAATCATCAAAAAGATGGAATTTACGAACAAATGGGTTTTTTGTCAACAACATTTTTCAACCCATCGATGATTCATTTGCTTGAATGCCAATTGATGGTAGGGATCCGAACGCATTCAAAAAGGTATAACATTTTAAAATCAGACATTATTGACCCGAGATATTAAAAAAAAATCATCGAAAAAGTTTCGATGTTCGCACCGACCTCGATCTTGAAAAAAATCGTGATGATTTGGATGGTCTTCGCGCGGAGTTATGTCGTTTTGGAACGTCATAACTTCTTTCGATTTTCGCACCGACCTCGATTTTGAAAAAAAAACGTGATGTAACCCGCGCGGAGTTATGTCGTTGTGGAACGTCAGATCTTCTTTCGATTTTCGCACCGACCTCGATTTTGAAAAAAAAACGTGATGTAACCCCTTGCCATTTTGTCGATTTGGGTCAAAATTTTGAATTAAGCACTGATGATATAAAGAGAAACTCAAATAGCAATCGATAAAAATCGATATCGTTATTCTGTTTTTTGAGAAATTTTGGTACATAATAAGAGCTAGAGTCACCAAACTTGACATATAGCTTCTAAAATAGAATATATATATGCATTTGATGTTGAAAGAAGAGGGTTCAGGGTATCCCCTAGTCGGGAGCTCCCGATGATGAAGGAATAATAAATGAATTAAAGTTATTGCTAATACAATAAAAGGTAAAATAAAGTGAAATGTAAAAAATCGAGTTAAAGTTGCGTTATCAACAGCAAATCCTCCTCAAACTCATTGTACAAGATCAATCCCAAGATAAGGTACTGCTGAACCTCTTACTTGTTATTAATATTTTTTTAAATCACCAAATAAACTTTTTCTCTCTATTCGCTAGACAACATTGAATTGTCAAAATACTTTTGTCCACCTACATTTTTGAAAGATCGATTTTTTTTTATAAGCTGTAATAATACAAATTATTTTTCTTTGCATTTTGGGCAGCGATTTATATTATTATTAAATAGAAAAGTTGTTAAAATGTATTATGTCAATAAATCATTAGATATTGCTAAGGCAATCCTATTTTTCTTATGTCAAAATATTTTTGTCTACCATTGTACATACACATACATTACATACAAAGAAATACATACATATATAATACTTATGTGCGCTCGTAGCAAATACGTCTATTATTATTTACTTTGATCCATATGAGCTCACTATTATAAGATTAGTATAGAATCTATACTTTTTTTATTGCAAGTGCACCTACATGCATACCACACGTGTACGTCTTTTTAATTTTATAGCTATAGCCTGTCTGTATACGTTTGTAGGATTTATAATTTATTATACTTACTATAGTAAAATCAAATAAGCTAAACAAAAACTAAACCATTAATTGTATTTAATCGAGTTTTATTAACTTTATTGCAAATGCATATTTTCCGCTTGTTTAATTTTTACTCAGTTAAACTCGATAAACAACTTCTAAATTGTGTGCGCATGTATTGATATGATTTAAATATATTTTTTAACTAACACAAAACTATTAATTTATATGATTTTAACTGATTTTGTATAACGCTCAAATATGCATAAATCTAATGAAAATGATCGGCTTATTCCCTGCTAATAGCGTAAACCTAGATATTCATAAAGGGGTATTTCCATGACCGATTCGCTTGTGTTCATTTCCTGGAAGTCACCACCTTGGAGTAAATATAGAGGTCGGGCCAATTTTGGATTGTTTAAGTAAAAATCAATAAGCGCTGTAGTGCTACGCAGGTGAGTAATGCCTTTAAATATTTTCTCGCGGGTAAGCAGATCGTTCGGGTAAACTGTTTCGATGACCTTATCACCAGAGCGCTTTATCCAAGGTCGTTCCTTAAGAGGTACAGTTCGACCAAAGGCGCTAAGAAGCGGCTTGTGGGTCACACGCATTGCATGGTCGTTGATGTGTTTTTCATACTTGAGCTCAATTGCCATCTGTTAAATAAATAGGTATACAAGGTGAAGGCATTCCCAATTTCGATTTATCATTACATGGGGTTTATTCCATTTGTCGGCAACTGTTTGCGCTATGGCGTTGACTTCCTTTGGGTCTGTCTTAACTGATGCAAGAAGCGTTCGATCACCTTTGATGGAAAATAAGTTCTTAACCTTCTCTGGTGTCATAGACGTATCCATTGAACCGATAGAATTGAGCCAGTGAATAAAGCGCTCAGCTGACTATAAGTTAAATGTAGGTTAAATTATTGAATTTTGTGAATTTCATGTTACCGCGTCCATGAGATTCTCCGCTTGCTCGTCAAGCGTGTACGCCGAATCACCCGCCTTGGATCGCTCCACTCGCGAGTCCCAGGAAACGCGTTCGTCGCGGGAAGCGCACAGAAACTTCGCATACCAGCTAGTTTTGTCGACACTGCGATGTGTGTGACCAACTGGCTCATCTAACCTAAGATCAAACTTCTCAAATTCATGATCCATGCGCACTATATCTGAGTGTTGGCTTTCACTAAAATGTTCTTCTAATTTCTTTCGATCCGTTAGCTATAAAGGACAGGCCAGTTGTTGAAAGACATTCATATTAGTATATTTAAATCAATTAGTGTATTTATATCATCAATGGTACTCACAAGAGCAGCCCCCTCCTGTCCCTCTTCTCGGCTGTCCTGTTCACTAGCAATCTGATAATCATGCGGCCGCTCCTCACGCATCTCATCTCGAATAAAAACAACGTCGTCTGATGTGGAATAGTCGTAGGTCTGTATCTGCTTTACGCGCTCGCGTAGGTGTGGAGGTAGGACTAGTGAGTAGTCGATTATTGGCAATCGTGGCTGCGATACGCAGCGAACTGCAAACTCCACTTCGTCAATGACGTCGCGCCAGTAGGATTTTCCCCGAAGACCGCCGCGTGGGCGAAGATGTGCAAAGTCACTTATAATGCTGCTGGATGACTTTTGGGTGGTCGGGCTGACTTCCTCGTTCTGACCGAGCACATTATCTTGCGTTTCTTTGCTACCATGGCTCTTATCACTACCTTGGCTACCTGGGCTGGATCGGCTGCTTTGGGTGGACCGATAATTAGCAGAAGAGTGAGCTTGTAATCTCTGCTTGGAGAAAGCCATTATTGTTGGCTTGTGTTCCTTGTATAATAAGAAAATTTCGTTGTTTGTAACTGCACCAATATGTCTATGAAAAGCTTTATGAGAATGTTTGTTCAATACACAAATTTGTCAAAGCTTACATATTTTAAAAAGCTTATTGGTTTCAACATCGACTATTTTTACTTACTTGTAAGCTGTAGTCTCTTTACGAATTGGTGACTGTGTTGAATTTAAGCTCGTAGCCTGTTGTGAATTTGCTAATAAGGCAAGAAACTTGTAAAGTTCAAAGAAAAAAGTTATTCGAGGTGTGCCCGAGAACGCTCTGATTTGGGCATAGGTATGGTACTTTCAGGTAATTTATATAATTAATTAAATTTAGTCAAACATATATATTTTGCTGCTGCTCTGAAGCGCTTTAGTCGGATATAAATATATCATTTTCAGAAGATATTAAAACAGTATATTATTTTATGTCATATTAGGTATTTACTGGTTAGCCCCTTTATATGTGACGCATGCGCCTAGCATCCTCAACTTTATTATAGATACTTTGAAACAAAGCTCCATCTGCCGTTTTGTCAAAAGAAATATTTTGTTATGGTAAACATAAGCTTCTTCATGCCCTTTCTTGAGCAGCAAAGCGAATCATATATAGTTATAAACTTCACAAAATAGAACTGATATCAGGATATCAGAAAAAAATACCACAAGGTAAGCCCAACGAATATAATGTTTTTTTGCAAATGTATACACAAAACAGGAATCACCTACAGCGTTATTCATTTTATATATAATAGGTCCGCAATAATAGCCTTTCTGATCAAGCCCGCGAGCAATCGATAAAAATTTATAAGTATAAAAACTTTGAGAATAATTTTAGCATGTTGCTTGAAGAATCGTATATACAAAAGAAGAATCTTACATTTTACTTTTTTTTTTTTACTTTTTGATGAACGAATAAAGATTAATAATTTCAATTGGGTAGGTATGACAGCTTAGTAGGTGCATTTACTTGGGACTGGATAGTTTAATCTATAAATCTTTCTTTATACATTTTCTATTATTGCGGCTGGAAGTTTACAAGCAATGATAGGTCGCACAATTTTTTATATATAAATATATACAAACGTTTATACGTATATTTAATTTATCCATTTAAGATAAAAATTATAATCATTTATTAAACTATCGATTATATTCATACCATAAGCAAAAAGGAAACTGAACTTCAGCCTCAAAATTCGGTGCCCTAAAGAATTCGATAGCTTGGAATCTAAAAGCCTATGACACTGTCAGTGTGCTAAGGATAGACGGGATACCCAAGTACATAAGTGACAAAGACAACTTTGCAAAAATTGTGCGCATATTAAAATTCTTGGCAAAAGCTTTTGACATAAATTAAAACTTTTTATCAGCGAACACATGGCACATCTACTGACATTCAAGCTTATGCGAAAAAAAAGAAAAAATGTGCTGCTTTGTACATACTTACACAACGTAAATGAGAGCATATTGGTTTATGAAATGTACCTTTGGTTCTACGTCCGGCTGAATGCAATTTTGCGACGCTCATTGTCAATTTCCCGTATTATATAAGGTGTTAATATATTTGTCATGTTATTCAGACAATTTATGTAAATTCGCACACAGTTAGAACACAAGTAAGTAAGTAATTATAGCCTGACCTAGCAAAAGGAATTTATTGTTTTGTTGACATGATTACGAAAGATTTTTAAACATATTTAAGTGATTGTAGAAGCTACAGAAACTAAAGTTGGTTTATGGGCCCTCGCAGGCTTATTTGGGAGTTTATGAACAGAGGTGAAGCTGAGCGCTGAGTATAGGGTATTAAGTCAGGCACTCTAAACTAAAGCAATCTCTCAATTTAATGTTAAGACTTATGAATTATAATATGTTACAATAAGTGTGCTAAATATTTCAAAGGGAAAATGAAACAAGGCTAATCGAAAGTTTTTATAAAATTCCACAGTGTACAAGCAGAGTGTAATATTGAGGAAAAATGTGGTTATCAAGGTGATGTAAATCACAACAATCCCGTAAATATATATTTTTGCTGAATATTTTTATTATGGGGTAATTGAAGTTTCTGCTACTAGTTACTGGACTTTTCAATAAAATAACACTCCCACTAAGACGCCTATGGGCAGCGCCAGTAAGAGAAGAAACTCAAATTTAAATCTTTTGTATAGCGCGCTGACACATTCGAAGGCTGATTAAAAAGTTTTTTAATTAATTTCCATTCCAAAAATAACTGACAAATCGAGAGGGATTGGTAAATGCACAGCGTAGCCAACCGAAAGGGCGCTAGCACGGAAGCCATCGTCAAATCAATTGAAAAGTTTTTTAGAGGCTGTGGGTCCCAGGGCAGAAATGGGATATATGTACGTATATATTACATTGGTATTGGCTCTAATCTATAAGGTTGAAGGTTGCGGAAATGTAGCCAGAAACATTGATATCACTTACTACGCTATTAAGCAGCATACGATTGCTTTACGGAGCACATAAAAAATTAATATCGCTCCATTGCTGAACGCTTTGGCTTCAGTATCAACTTTTTGGGTAAAAATTATTTATGAGCTTACTGCGCGTATCTGGGGTGGAGTGAGAGTCTTGAAGCTGTCACCTACGAAATTGTAGCGCGTGATTTTTTTTTTTTTTGCCTGCGACAAAACTTTTTCAATAATATATAAATCAAAACGTCATAAAGTCACGGTCACGTCATATTCCAAAATTGTTTCGTCCCGCATTGCGCTTAGTGACACATTTTATTTGCTTTTATTTAAGCTACAATTCGCTTTGGCAGATATTTTCGTAGACAATTTAAGTTGCTATTACTTAACACTGATGTGCATTTAATATATATTGGTGTATGTCTGAGTGTCCCGTAAGAAGCAAACTGGCAAACATAAAACCGCCTACGCCCGGGCGGGCTGGGCAGCTGTTACCTGTCTGAAGTCTTCTTTGTGTGTTGCCAGAATAGCTGCAACATCCTTCCTTTCACCATTTTTTTTTTTCACAATCATGGAAATATGTCACAAAATTTATTACAAAATAATTTTGCTGCTCTGACTGTGGGCTTCGCTCTAATGTCCACGACGCAGCCCATGTGAACGACAAGACTTACCCGTCATTTAAGCTAGTTAAAGGAGCTTCTTTCTGGCAACTTTACGTTATATTCTTGTCTCTGCTGTCTGCCGTCACGCTCTGTGTCTTTTATGCACATTAAAATATTAAAAATTCCTTCAGAATCTAAAGAATGTCTCTGTTGCCTTATGCGGCTTGAAAACTTTCCAGTTGAGACTAAATGTTTTCAATCTCTTTGCCGCACACCGGTTTAGTCGGAGTCTACCGTAAAATTGCCTTTGGTTCGCAAATATATATATGTTTGAGGAAATGTTCTTGATTGTGATTTTAATGTTGTATACAATTTGTGATAGCATTAAATCTACAAAAAATTCCGAAAATTACGTTGCGGTTGTAGATTTGTACCACCTCTGAATCCCGCTTCAATAATATCAGGTCTTACAAGATTTCATTTTTCATATTTGTGTCCAAGATTATCAGTGGTCGTGTCGACCCGTATTATTCAATTGCATTCCAGCGCTTCACTATCCACGAATATTTTTCATTGCAAAAATTGTGGCACATGGACTTTGCCTGCAAACAAAATTAAATAAAATGGGAGCAGAGATTGTATGTGAATGTTTGTTTTTGTGCGTTTCAATCCGTTTGAATGCGAAATATTTTTAACAAATATTTTCAAAAATGCGCTCAAAAGCGGTTCAATGTAATCGTCTGTGCATGAAAGTACGTACATTTGTACGTATGTATGTATGTATGTATGTATGTATGTATGTATGTATGTATGTATGTATGTATGTTTGTATGTATGTGTTTGTATGTTTGTATATGGTGGAAAAAAGGGTTGGGACAGATCATGATCTCCGTGCGTATATAAACAACAATTTTGCAATGTAAATCGACAAATACATATCCAAACAGACAGTGTAAACTGTAACGTACTTGCGAACGTAGATGATGAGGATGTTATGGCTTTGCCGTATCAAACGAATCAAATAACTCCATTTTAGCCTTTGCGTGTGCTGATTTCAACCCCCCTTTTACCACAACTTTTATTTGTAAAATATTTTTAATTGAAATCGTCTGGAATAAATTGCAACTGTTAAATGTACTAAATTAAATAATAGAAGCCCTGATTATATTCTCACGAGAATTGTGTGAAAAGCGAGAGTTCACAAACAGTTAATCAAGAAGATAAGAATGTCAGTTTATGGTACTTTGTTTACAGTATATGTATATATGAAACAACGGATAGTGTATTGAATATGTGTTAACATAAATCGTTTCAGGAAAATAGTTATGTAAAATATATGTTAATAATAATATTTGTAATCATTTGTAAGGATGCAGAGTATACAAAATATATCAGTTTTCATTAACTGTATTTTCTTTTTTAATACATGCCTAATAACAAGGCGGGGCTACTTATTTTGTGATTTATTAACTAATTTAGCTGCAGCATGATTTATGCCAGCATTGGCACCCAAAAAAGGGGTTACGTAGACAAGTCGATTTTCGAGTCGGAGCCTCGGGGGTTAACAACAGCGACAGCTGCCTGCCACAAGCCTCGAAGGGACAGTAAAACGGAACATTGAACTTTCAATGCAACAATAACTTTAACTGCAACAACAATGCACAAGTTTGCAACTTTCAAGAAATTTACACCATCAGCGAATAAGAGAGCATGTACTGCTACTGCTGCTGCCAGATCTGTAGCATGCTTTCGAGCGCAGGAAATTCAAACAGCTAAAGAAAATGTGCCGGGGTCGGCAGTTTTTCCTTTGCCGTTCTGTTTGCTCCAAACAATCTGTTTCTCGGTATCAACCATGGTAGAAAAATTGAAACAAGCTGAGCAACGCGATAGTCAACTTGAGCACTAGAGCATTAGTCATGGGCGAACAGGAGTTACCTTAGGTTGCTTTTGCAGTACTTGCAACTACAACGCGTGGCAGGGGTATGTATCATATTTAGACATGAAAAAGACAGAAATATAAACTTAAAAAGACCAGGCATAAAGATGGCGGCGGCGGCCAAACAGTTGTACCCAGCTAGCGCAAAACCATTTTCGGCAACTGAGCGGCAGTTGAAAGGTCTTTCGAGCCCACACAACATGAATTATGGCCAAAGTTATCGGCTTTTTGTTGTGCAC